TGACATGATAATGTTTCAAAAACAGGATACTCCCCGACCTGCTTACAGGCACCATGGCAATTCCATCCATGCCTGGTTTTCCCTGGCTGAGGTTGGCATATCCTATTTGAATGCATTAAAACCCACTGGAACAGGCTGTCTGGATAACTAGGGATGATTCAAGAACTGTCAAAGTCCTCTTCAAACCACCAAGAAAACGAGTGTTTGTCCTCCCTCAGGGTTGTGTGTTATAATTATTCAGCATTTAATGGTGAGTTGGGCGATTAGTTTGTGGGAAGGAGATAAGGGATAAAAGTAACCTTTTAAAGGAGAAAATGGGACAAGCCTATGGGGCACTTCAGGTACCATTTAAATACAAGTAAGTGGAATCTAATTTCTCCATAATTCCCTCTCCAATTCCTCTGAATTAGGCTGTGGGAACTTCTCAGCCCTCACAAAACAAATTGAGCTCCCCACAACTCAGACCTGAGCAACAGACATCAGACTTGCTGCTGAGGCCTCTCCTGGCAGAGGACATGGCTCAAGCCTGTTGGAATCATCCATTATTAAAGCAATCACCTCTAAAAAAATCAGTTCAACCTAAATTCAAGTATCCTTAACAATAATACCCTATAAAACAGTAAAAATACTAACCTAGCAAATGCACAAACAAGGGCATTACATTATGTGTGAAAGCAGGCTCTGGATTTTCACAGGTGTTAAATGACATTAAATTTCGTTAAGTACATCAGCTCTCTGTGTAAGGGCATCTTCCGTGAGACTGTTGGTCTAGACACTTCTGCAACCTTAATTTGCAGAAGTGGAATCTGCCTTTGGCTTTCAAGCTGCAAAATGATCTGGTCCTTTCACACTGCTCAGTATCTTATCCAGTGGAAATGAATACTGAAGAATCAGGAAATTCTAGAGCTGAGGATTTACCTCTCTGATGAGAATTCCCACATCCTTTCCCACTTTAAGCTAAATGAAGCTAAAGGAGGAGACATTGCTAGGGAGAAAATCGACCTAATGCCATGCTCCAGATGCTTTTAGTAACCCACAGTAGGGAGCACTAGCCAAGGAGCTCAAGGATTATTTGGGACCTTGGACAACTTTGTACCCCAGCATTTGATTTGTATACTGAATGTAGAGTGGAAAATGAGGATCCCAACCACAGAATTATTCTTACAATCAAAGCCATGATAAGTGGGTGCCTCTTGCTCAGGTCTACCATGAAAGTAATGGGTTTAAGTTCTTACTCATTTAGTTGCACGAATAAAAACTCAGAGTGAGTCAGGGCTGGAGTGCTGGTAACTATGAAGTCCCAGGAATTAAGAGGAAAAAATTCTGCATGGAGTGATATGCCTTATAAATACAGTCCTCTAAGATATAGCCCAACATTTAATATCCCTTAAAACTCACAGGCCAGATGTAGAATTTGATATTTTGATTTAAAGATTCACACATACTGTATGAAGACATTAGTTCTTCAGCATGAAACTGGTATTTAATTTTTTTTTGTAAAAAGTAGAATATGGTTTACAGAAAATTATATGAGCAGGTCCACAATGAATAACTTATTTAGTTGCAAGTAGCCCTTAGCTAGAAATGTACACTTTCTTGGTTTTAGCTCTAATTAATTTTAATTCATCTGCATATGGATTAGCTCCTTCATGCACAAACATGCAGTAACACATTTGAATTTTACCATTCAAGCTGGATACAGAAATGGAAGCACCATGTGCTAAACTGGTGGTTAGAAGAAACAAAAAGTAAATTTCTTAATGTCCAGCCCTGTTCTCTCATGCACCTTGTTCTAGTGGGCAGTAGAAATGAAAGGAGAGAATTCCTCAAGAAATTTCATTTTACATCCCTGCACTCAGATCTTGGATTCCTGACATGGTCACTGACCGGAGAGTGAGGCAAATCTCACGATTAGCGGCAGCTTCCTAACATTATTCAGCTGGTTGGGATAGCCAGGAGGCAGCAGGGCTGCAGCCACATGCCCATGGACTGCCGTGCACTCTGGTTGCCATGGCAATAATGGCTTTGGGGGAAATTCAGGCTATCCAGGCTTTCCCACGTTAGGGACTTTACAGCCAAGAAGCTGTGACTAAATTCTGCTTAAACTGAGCAGAACATAAATTAAACAATATAGGATGTGGATCCGAGACCTGCCAGGTGCTGCACCCTTTTAATTCATGTTTTCTCTGCAATTTTTTCCTTTCAAAATTTGACAATATGCCTGGAAGTGACAGGAAGCACCTCTCAGGGAGACCACTTGTGGGGAAACAAAGACAAGATTTAGCTCAATTGTTCACATATTGGCATTACTGAAAAGTTTTATATTTATATTTTAATTTTTATGCTAAACCTTTCTCGCAGTTTATAAAATCTGGTACCAGGTTTGCATACAAAAATCACTAACTTTTTTACATAAATTCAATCTTTATATATTCTTTGGACAAATCTTTGGCACAGACAGTGTGTACACTTGCAGAATAGCTGTTGCAACCCTTTTAACAGTTAGACCACAGTAAGAAGTGCTCACTGATTAAATTCTGCAACTCATTTTCTGAAGTTAACGCTCCTGCTGGGATCAATAGGAATAAAACAATTAAGAAATGAAAAAGAAAATATTATAAAAATCATGAGCATTTTTAATTGAAAGATCATTGCTTTATGTAGAAGTTCTATAAAGCCAGGCTCACCTGTAAATAAACCACCTGCCACAGAAAATCCCAGGTGGATGTTTTTTATATCTTTAATGACAACAGTCCAATTTTATGCCTGTGTAACTTCCCACAGCAAAAGAACTTGCTCTGAAATAAATAAAAATCCCAGTTTGACAACTTTTTGAAGCATTAGACAGAGATAGTTGATATTAAGCTGCTTTCCTTAGCAATTACATTTACTACATTGTTCCAGAGATGTAAGATTCAAGACATCCTTTATTTTTATTTTTTATATACCAATCTCTTCAGAGTCTTCGAGAGTGCACAGAGGAACCTTCACTTTGCCACAAGAGGGGGTTGCTTTGAAAGCTGCTGTAAATAATGTGACCAGCCCAAAACACAGCACAACCCTTTTCTTCCAAAAACTAAAAGAAAGGGAAGCTAAGTTGCCATCCACACAAGAACATTTGGAAAACAATGAAAAAGTTTTAAATTTCCAAAACTGATCAGATCACAGGAATTACTGAATTTAAACTCCATCAGGATGACCAACTTCAGGTGTTTCAATCATTTATGTTACATCATATTTTACAAGAGCAAACCTGCTGGTTTAACTTTAGCCTGCTTTAAGAAAGGAATGAACCAGTAGCAGAAATAGTTCTGTGGATGAGACTATTTAATGATTAAGAGTTCCTCCAAGTTTATTCCGTGCAAATTCCCATGCAGAAGCCTGAATTCCTCTGGCTTTCCCGGCAGCTGAGTCAGGCTGGGCTTCCTTGTCTCCAAACCTACAATTCCCAGCACCCATTGCAACATACTCTCTTCACATGAAGCAACCCTCAGCTACAATTTTTATGAAAACAAAGATTCTTCAAAAGTTCTTGAACCTTTACTCACAACTCCTCCCCCTACCCCTCAGCTCACCCCCACAACTCCTGTTTTTATAGCATATAGTAAACTACTTTCTATAAATCTACCAGTACACCCCTGCAATCAAAACACTGGCAGAGAAAAGAAGCAATAAATCAAAGAGGGAAAACAACTTAGAAAAATATTTGTGCTGGAACACATTTTAAGGGCATAGGTGATTCATGCAGGGAATGAGAAAGGCACAAGACAGTGATTAGAAATAAATTTGAATTGAAAACCACGCAACCAGAAAGCCTGAATTAAACATGCTGAGAGAGCTTGGAGACACAGCGTCACTAAGCTTTTTGCATAGACAATTAAATGAAGCAATTAGAGTTCAGAAAGTAGCCAATTATTTTAGGAATGAAACAAAGGCTGGAGGAAATACAGTTGCCTGTGTGCAAAAATGGAGAAAAAGGAAAGCAAAGCATTGCATTTGAAATATTCATGACAACCAATTTGTATAAGAGGATTTTTAATTAATAGTCTAGAAAAGTTCTTTTAACTCGGTAATGAAAAGAATGCAATTAAAAAAAGAAAAACACTTTAATGTGTGAATATAATTGATATCTTCAGAAATTATAGGAAATAGCAAGCACTGTAAGGGACTAAGAAGTGACAGGGAAAAACAATCTGCCACAATGAGAATTCTCCTGAGATGGCACTTAAAACTCTCCAAATGTTTTGATATGTTGTTTTCTCAAGGCTATAAGGAAACAAGATCCTCAAGAGACCAAAAGGGAAAGGTTTTAGTAATTCCTCACAGGCAGATACTGTTGCAGAGCATCCTAAAGGATTTGATAAACTGGGTAATTAAGTTATTTGTCTTAGTCATTCACAGCTCTAAGTGCAGGCTGACACTTCAGTGCCAGGATAAACTCCACAGAACACTAAAGCCTCTATCAATTTAACATCTGAACACATCCCCTAAAATCATAGACCAACAGAATAAACCATAAGCTATGCTTTTAATTAATTATAAAACAAATATGCCATCCTTACCAGCATCTCCCATGCACACACTGCACTGCCACTCAATTTTAGGCTCCTGAGGGCTGGCAGAGAATCTTTTTCTTCTTCCGCTACTCTGAGTGACAGCATTTAAATGCTACTGCTCTGAGGAAAATTGTAGCCTGTTCAGCACTTCTGAGAAATGCAATAACAAAGCTTTTTGCTTTTTCTTCTTTAATGTCCCCAGAAGGACACTGGTAACATAATGCCTGTTTAGCACTGCTCCTTGCTTTAAAAGTGTCCTTAACATTTATCTCCTCCCAATTAGAGGTCTCATCACAGACATCAATCCCATAAGATAACAAAACAGTTCCATTTGTTTTTTTTAAGGAAGTATTTTTAATGAAATGTACACAAAATTATATAATATAAAGCTTCAATTCAAGTTATAAAAACTATGTATGAGTTCAAGGTGCTTAATTTGAAAATAACTGGTAACTGGTAACTGGATCAGAAAACGTTTCCTTACAAATTGCACCCGTTTTCCTTATCCCTCCTCCCAATAAAAAAGGTTTTGTTCCCTTTGTTTCATTTGATTTTGTTCTCACATAAACATTTTAATCTCTAATAAAATCAGTTTTAATTGGCCCTGAGGTACTGTACAGACTGATGCAATCTAGGTCATTGCTTTCATATGCAGTAAAACATTAATGAAGTACAAATCCTTATGAAAACAAGAAGTTTTTATCTTCTGAGGCAGAATATTTCTTGTAGCTGATGAGTGTTCGGCTACTACTAACAAATTAATCTGATTGATTCCTAAATTATCTTGGTTCTATGCAGTAGTCAGTATATTTTTTATATTCCAGATCAATCTCTCTTCTGTAAACCAGAAGACTTATTAAAAATGGGTAAGAAAAACATGTTACCAGAGAGATTGGAACTGCTGCAGAGCTGTTTCACCACACACACAACTCATCTTGTTCGTTTCTCTGCTCTGCTCAGAAGGAGTGCTCAGAGAAAGAAAAAAGTCTGAAGCAATCATTTTCTTTAGATACTGCAGAATGAATACTGTGTCTATTAAGCAAAAAACCCCAAAACATCTGAGCTGGTCATTCAGATGAAGCACAGCACTGTATCTCCTCCTGGGAGTCTGGAATTGGCAACTGATACAAGTATTAGAATCAGTACTTGGAGAACTCTGCCTGCCCAAAATGCAGACAGGCGGAAACTCCTAGATTACCCTATGCTTGGATACAATCACTGATACTTAATATACTACAGCTAGGAAGATACTGAGAATCATTACAGAATCATGGAATAGTTTGTGTTGGAAGGGAACTTAAAGATCATTCCGTTCCACTCCCTGCTATGGGCAGGGACACCTTCCACTAGACCAGGTGGCTCCAAGTTCTGTCCCACTCGGCTTTGAACGCTTCCAGGAATGGGGGAAAAAATCATTTAAGGAAAAAACACTGTGAAAATGTTTGATGAAAACACAATGAAAAATGTCAACACAATGAAATGTTTTTCTGTCATGTGAACATACAGCAGTTTCCATTAACTTCAATTAAATATTCAAGAGTCACTGCTTAAACAAGAGGCACCAACTGTAACAAAAACTTGAAAATTATCATTGTCACAACATTTCTGCAGAGCAGTGACACATCACATGCTTACACCTGGCCTTCACAGTCATAGCACCACGTGAAAAGAACTCGAAAGGAGCTAAAAGGCAGACAAATACAGTAGCAAAAAAGAAGCCTCTTCAAGCATCTATTCAGGCAGTTTGGAGGATGTTTGCAGTAGCAAACAATCCCACAACCATTCAAGCAATAACAATTTCAGAGGACTCTCCCCCCTGGCACAGGAGATGGTCCCCAGAGGCCTCTACAGCTCTGCACATCTTAAAGCTTGCGCAAATTTTCCAGCCTTAGGTCAGGTGTGAAGGTCATTTAGTGAAGTCTGTCCCAGATTAAACCTGAGAACTGAATCTGGTCTTGTTCATAAATCCTCTTTCCCCTGTGAAAATGTCAAGCAATGGGAATGAACTAAAAAAATGGCACAGGACTTGGAAGAGCTATGGGGTCTGGAGGGATCTTTGAAGAGAACAACCTGGCCAGAGATAGCTGATCTTCACAGGATATTGCCAGAAAAAAAGTCCACGATACAGAATTACTCACACCCCTCCAAAAGGAACCAGTTTGTTTTCTAGGTTTTTGGCACAGTACACATTTTTGTCACCAGGAGCTGAGCTGCACTTGCCAGCAACCATGAGCAGCCTCTGTGACAGAAGTTAGGAAAGAATTCCTAGCAAAGGATCCTAAAGCAGGCACAGCTTTCAAAAGAGGCTGCTGTAAACATCTGAGAGACAGAACTTCTTCGGTAGTTTCAGGAGAACACTTTCTTCAGGACGGTGAAGGCACTTGGTACTGATTTAAACCAGTTCATTTTCAAACCTGGGCATATTTTTACTACGAAAAAGCCACCACAACATTTAATACCTCTCTTGCACTGCAGTCTTGGGGTCTAAGGTTACAGTCATCTTAGTATCCTTTGATAGAGAGCAAATGTATTTGGCAAATTATATTATGCTTCTCAGAAGGAAAATCCAGTACACAGCTAAGACACTCCTTCTCCCTTTCACATTACATTTATAATAGGGAAAAAAAAAAAACCAACCTCTCCATGAAATTTTAAACCACAATTACCTCAGAAGTGTCTCATGGATGTATTTCCAGAGAAGATGAATCAAAAAGCATCTGCAATAAAGCAAATCTTTTCAGGTGGGTGGCAGAACAAAAGTGTGAGAATTTCTACAAAATGGTGCTCAGGTCTTCTAAAAGCTAAAATATCTTAAAGGAAGCATCATGCTACAAAGTGTCACCTGAAAAGAATCTGTTTTCATGTTAATTTTCCTGTGTCCAGAAATTAATTTACTAAGGCACCTAAACTAATGGCACAATAAGCAACCAGTGATAAGTATTTTGGTCCAGAAGAGAAGGCGGCACTTTTGCTTTTTTCATCCATATCTGAGGGGCATGAAAGTGTTTTGATATTGATTTCATCTGGCTCCAGTGTTCAGCTGTGAGATCTTCTCTTCAACTAAGTCTGCCACCAAATTCAGGTGACAGCCCCGAAGAGCTTTTATTAAGTCAGCCACCTTTGCATCTTTTCCCTTCCATCTCTGCCACTCTCGAAGTCCCTGGACAAGCTGCTCATACGATTTAAATTGATAGTCTGCCTCTATTCTGTCCAGTTTCACTTCTGGCATGCCAAGTTGTCGCAGCAGCTTTTTCCAGTCTCTCCCAATGTTCTCACATATGACATCATTAGCTAACTTGAGAAGACCTGAAAAAGCAGAAATACATCAAGTTAGCCATGGTTTTACTAAGAAATACAAGAGAATGTTTAAAAGTTGGGGGTTCGGTTTGGTTTTGTTGTTTTTTTTTTTAGCAAAATGCTACTGCTCTTGGTGCAGTGCGTGTACTGAGAGTCACAGCACATTCTGAAATACTTGGATTTACTTGGCTATACATGAAATACTGGATATACTTGGAATTCCACATACATAACTCGTTTTTCTAGTGACCATAAATAAAAAGATTTAAAAAAAGATTAAAAAAAATAGAGAGAATTTCCACCTCGGAAAGCCGTTTGAGTTCACATATATATGTATAATTATACATATACAAAAATATAACTTAGATAAAATATATATATGTAAAATATATATATATTATAATATATATTATAATCCACCTACGTTTTTCCTGCTCATCTGGCTGATCATCAGGAGTACCAAACCCTCCTTCCTCCTCGAACTGCTCCAGCTGTGACAACAAATCGCCCCTGCGGATGTGCTCGAGTAGTTTCCTGAGGAACTGCAGGTTGTCGCTGCCGATGTGCTGCTGCTCCATCAGGATCTCGAAGAGCTCCCTACCGCTCCGCACAGACTCGCGCTTCCTCTTTGTGATCTTGTCGCGGCAGAGGAACTTCATGGAGTCGAGCTCGGCCTCGGACAACCCCGCGGAGATGGAGAGCAGAAGGCTCAGGAACGGGCTCACAGTGGGCCCCGCGCCGAGTGCGGGGTGGCTAGAGGCGTCCTGGTCCCACGCTCCGCAGGCGAACGCCATTCCTGCTTTGGCAGAGTGACTTCCGGGGAAGCCGGAGAAGGAAGGGAAACAAAGAGACTGACCCGACCGACCCGACCTGGCCCGCGCCCTGCCCGGAACTCACGTGACCGCGGGTTTCCCCGCCCTAACATGGCGACGGTGGCACCGCCCGTGAGGGTTGTAGTTTTCTGACCTCGGCGCCGCGCAGCCTGGGGTTGGGAACCTAGCGCTTCAAACCACCTACCCCCACACACCCCGAGCCCAACGGGCTTGTTTTGTGATGGAGGATTTGTGTTGGAGGCCGATGTCCTGCTGCAGGGACGGGCCCCGGTGCCTCAGCAGCGCGGCGCCTCAGCCCTGTCCGGGTCACAGAATCACAGGATCGATTAGGTTGGAAAAGACGTCTGCGGTCGTCGAATCTAACCTGTGACACAACACCACCTTGTCAATCAGACGATGGCACCGAGTGCCACGTCCACTCGACTCCACCACCTCCCTGGGCAGCCCATTCCAGTCTCTAATCACCCTTTCTGTGAAGAAATTCTTCCTATTGTCCAACCTAAAGCTTCCCTGGTGCAGCTTAAGACTATGTCTTCTTGTCCTGTCCCTTGTTGCCTGGGAGCAGAGCCGACCCCCACCTGGCTCCACCCTCCTGTCAGGGAGTTGCGGAGAGTGAGAAGGTTCCCCCTGAGTCTCCTTTTCTCGAGGCTGAGCCCCCCAGCTCCTTCAGCTGCTCCTGGTGCTCCAGACCCTTCCCCAGCTCTGTTCCCTTCTCTGGACTTGCTCCAGCTCCTCAATGTCCTTCTTGAACTGAGGGGCCCAGAACTGGACACAGGACTCAAGGCATGGCCTCAGCAGTGTCTCCCCAGTGCTCATGTTGGCTGAGCCTGAAGTTGGGGGAACTGTAGCTTCCCTGCTTAATACCACATTATTGGACTTCTTGTGAACACCTACACCTATAAGAATTACTTTCTGGTTTGGTGTTTTGTTTTGTGTGGGTTTTTTGGTTTTTTTTTTTTTGGTTTTTTTTTGCAAAAAGGGAAAAGGAAAGCAGTACGTGGATGAAAGGCTCAGGCTGGAGAAAAGAAGGCTCAGGGCGGACCTTCTCACTCTCTACAAATGCCTGACAGGAGGTTGTATCCAGGAGGGGGTTGACCTCTTCTCCCAAGGAAAAGGGGCAGGACAAGAGGAAAATCATCAGGGGAGGTTTAGGTTGGACATAAGAAGAAATTTCTTCACTGAAAGGATGGTCAGGCATTGGAAAAGGGTGCCCAGGGGAAGCGGTGGAGTTACCATCCCTGGAAGGATTTAAAAGATGTGTAAATGTGGTGCTTAGAGACCTAGTGGTGGACTTGGCAGTGCCTGGTTAATGGTTGGACTCGATCTTAGAGTCCTTTTTCAATCTTAATGGTTCAATGCTTCTATAATTCTATGAAAGGACTAACTCCACAAAGAGCAAGAAAGGGCACAACAGAGCTCCGCTCTCAAAGGGATGCCATTCCCATGGTGTCCCTCCCTGACAGCCGTTCAGGAAAACAGCCTCTGCCCTCCCTGCGTGGCCTTGCCTGCCCTTGGAGACCCCCCAGTTTTCCCTGTAAACACAGGGCATCCAACCTAGGCTTTGTTCCTCACCAAGCTTAATTGTGACACAAAGTACCTCCTGACCTTTAAAAGGGAAGAAATAGGGCAAATGTTAAGTCCCTATATTCTAGAGGCAATTCTTACACGAGGTGAAAGGTTGTCAACTTTTCTTAAAAGGGAAAGTTCAAGTTCATCCCATTGTTTTGTAGATAGCCACAGCTCAGAAAAACCAAATGGTTTTTCTTCTCAGCACATGTAGATAGTTCAGGGTTTTCCTTGTTCCTCATGTTGATTCCACAAGCTATCCCTTTCCAAAGTTTTTTCAGTACAACCTTTAATTTATTATCATTGCAACACACTGATAGACCTATGTCCCTTGTCATAAAATGATTTCCATCTGATAAAAGGCTTTAAACACATCTCCGTCTCTACTCTCACATTCCAATGTGAACTCCTACGCCCAAAACATTTCTAAAATTGCCAGAGGCACAAGCCTTCCTTAGATAAAACCACTAGATTTTCAGCATCCTCTTGCAATCTGTGACACAGAGACGGTCTTACACAGATTAAAAAAGCCAATCTACAGAACTGGCTACACACACAAAGCCCATCTGGGCACCCACAAGAGTGGGCAGAATGATATCAGAAAATGCTGTTTCCCATAAAATCCCCCCAAGTTAAAGAACACTGGACTGCATCATCTTTTCCAAATAAGCATTCCCTTAAAATAATTCATTTTGCTGTAGCATTTGCAATATTTTCTTTGACGTTTAACCAAATAACCCCCAAATTCATAATAAATTTGGGACTTCCATCAACCTCCTTCGTCCACTTTATGCCCCTCATCCAGGAAAGATGATAGAGCATCTAATCACACCAACCTTAAAACCAGTACATAATACTTTATTAAAAACATGTACGTATTACTCCCAGTCTCTCAGGTAAAATATTAAACCTGTTCAAAAGACATATTTTTGTTTAGTCCCTAAATGCTGCAAATTGGAGGGAATTAACTTGTTGCAGGGTCTTGTAGTAAAGCAACGGGCAAGAGGAACCAGCACTGAGAATCTAAGCTGGAATGAAATGTGCAAGAGTACAGATGTGCTTTCTTTCTGCAGCCCTGAATATACTTTAAACTCAAAGAAAGACATTAATTAAAAGGGTAGCATGATGCCAAGAAGAAATATATTTGCTGTGTGTGGATTAATTTATAAAGGAGATGTAATCCTAGTAAATATATAAGAAATAAAAATCCATTCAAATAAAATCTCTTTTGAATTTTGCCAAGGAAGGTGACTCTACAAAACAATGGGGACCAAATCACACAGTGCCTGGTGATGGTAGCCAGCCAAATTCAGAGACAAATCTACATGAAAGAAGCCTGAATCAGTAGAATTTATACCTTTATTCTCCGTACCTTGACATACAATTGAAAACAACATCAACTGAGATTTTAATTGGTTCAAGATGAATTTAGCAGCCAGCACTGAGTTACAAGGAGTGTGAAAATTAGAGTAATTCTGAAGGTGTCTAAATTGGTAACAAATATGAAAACTAAAAGACACAAATCATCCTTTAGTTAAGATACTTAAATGCTTTTAAACTCTCTTCTAACAGTGAGCATAGTGATTTATTAGTGCCTTTTATTCTGTTTGAATCTGACCCTTTAAGTGGACTTTGACACATTCACCAATGAACATATCCCAGCAGCTTCCTTTATTCCAGTTATTCCCTTCAAAAGCAGTTCATGGAGCTTCAGCAAAGGAAGTGTTAGAGCCAAGCTTAACAGATCGTAAGTGCCCCACATCAGAATAAAACATAATAGAGACGATTTGTTAGAGCAGCGCAGATTTTAGTGGAAGTTTCCCAGACACGTAAGTGCTACAAATGATCCGGTTCCTAACCAACTATTTTGGATGTTTCTTGAGGGAAGATGAGTCCTTGCGAAATACTGCAGAGGGAGTTTGAAGCCTGGGAGTTTTTTTGAAGTGAACCTTTGATTACACAGACTTTGCTGCAAGAGCAGGACAAAGAGTGAATAAAAAGATTAATTTCAGGTGAGTCCTCAGTGGCCCTGGGCAAGTTGCAATTGGCTACTGAGGCCGCAAGATGTAGTCTAAGGATTTTTATCTTTTGAAACTACAGGTTGAATTTTAGGGATAAATTGCAGTATTCTGAAACTGGAAAGTTGATAAAATAGAAAACAGTGTTTCTTCCTACAAGAGATTTGAAATAGTTCACTTAGGAAAAACAGACTTGTAAAAATCACAAAGCTCGAAGCCTGCTCAGCATACCTGATTTCTCATCTCCACTGATCATCAGGAACTGGACTCCCTCCTATTTTAGGGTCTCATCTGTGTACACTGTATTAAGGCCTCATAACTTAGAAAAGTAACATTATAAGCTCACATTTCTGGAAAGGTTTCCTTAGCAGATGAGTTTAAAAGCAAAACTTTGTTGCCATAACCAATGAATGCAGAGTAGTGCTATAGAGCCAAAGGTTATTTCTGTTGCTAGCTTTGCTACACTCTCAAATAACTTTTGTCCAGATCAGTGCTGGCAACAAGAATTCCAGGTTAACACTTGTTTCATTTTTCAGGCTTTGCATTTCAAGAATGGTGAGTTTTTATTGGAAACTGAAATGGCTGTAAGTAACAGCCTCAGAAAAGAGTTTTTCATATTTCTGAGTGTCTCAGTCTGAGGAGACTGGAATGTTTGCTAAAGAGGATGAGTTGTAAGACAGACCAAACTCCTCTCTCTCAGCAATTGTAAATTCAAGATTAAGGGGGCTTTAATCGAGGAAGTATGGCAAAAAAACCAGAAGAAATAACAACCCTTTATTAAAAGATATATGTATGTTGGCAAAACCAGTAACAGAACACACAAAAAAACTAGACGGTAATCCTAGAAAAACAAAGTCTGAATGAATACTTCTCTGTCCTTTAGCGCAGTCCTAACGGTGGCCTGCAGGGGGTGCTGTTGGATCGCTGAAGGTGCAGGGTCTGCAGTTCTCTGTCGTGGCCAGCAGGGGGAGCTGTTGGGCTCCAGCGGTCACCACGCGGGGAGAGGGGTCCGGAGGGAGCGGTCCTGGATGGCAGGAGAAGCCAAGAAGGAAATGGGGGACCCTTCCCTCAGTGGGGGAAAAAGGGAAGTGAAGCAGTCCACTTCCACGGGACTCACCGCTGTCCCAGGTGACGGTGTCTCAAAACTCCTCCCTTCTCTCCCACAGGCACATAACTCTCCGATGTAACAGAGCAGATCCAGGGAGCGGGACAACCAGGCAAGTCGAAGCCAGCAGTCCGAGCTGACCAGGATGAGAAGCTAAAGAAAACCAGATCCCAGTCCCTCTCCCCAAATGCCTGCACACAGACCCCGGTCTCCCTACCAGAACCAACTCCGCCATCTGCCCCACTCCCCTCAAAACAGAGCCAGCCACCTCCCAGCCTCCTTGATGGCCCATTAGCAAGGAATGTAGTTCGGCTGGCTACATCTTTTGTAACGCTAATGACCTCCCTTCCCCCTTCCCTATTCGAAACTCAGTTTCTCTTACGGGGAAGCAGGGAAAGAAAAAATTCCTCACTCAGATTTATAACCTATAACACTGAGGGAGAATTTTCAAACCTAGCTTTGAGTATGCAAATAGTTGAATTACTTGTTGTACAGTTGTAAATAAAAATCAATGCATTTCCTCTGATTAATGTCTTAACTTATATTTGGCTAAACAGTTCTTTTATTGTTGCCTTCTTTAAAAAATAACCGATAAGCAGAAAAGTGATCTCATAAAGTGTTGCAACCTTTGAAGTCCACTTGTTGCCACAGAACAAAAGCACGCCAATATCATATCTGAAGATACAGAATCTTATATAGATACATACAAATATACATATATATATGTATATATACAAATACATACAAGAAAGTTTGTAGTTCTTGATGAGAGTTCTACATGGGTAATGAACAGAGGACTGGTTTCATGTGTCATACAACTGTGGTGACCAGGAACATATGCTCTGAGCTTCGATTTATTGTCCTCGTTTGTAAATGCCTGCCTTCCCTTTGGGGGGAACACAGGCATGTGAGGTGTTGTTCAAGGCACGAACCCCACTCAGACACAAACAAGTGTCAGAGTAGAATTACCGTTTATTCAAACTGCCTAGGTTTAAATACCACGCTTGAACGTGTCACAAGACCTTCTAACCAATGACAATCAAGTATTGTCTGAGAACCCAGGAGACCACAACTCCCATGGTTCCTTGTTACAGTCTTCCTGCCACATCTCCCCCCTCTTTTTATTAACAAGTTGAGAAACAATACACCTTTAACAGTCTTATTATAACCAAACTTATTTCAACTAATCATAAAAAACAGGGCCTATCATCACAAGGCCTTTATTGAACTGTTTACAACTTTATTGGTTCGCGCAATATTCAAGCAATCTCAAATTACCCAGGGTTTGTAAGTGTGGATAACCTTTTATAAGAGGGTGACTTTGTGTAATGGCATCATCTTTATTTAAAAGGGAAATGTGTTGGGTTGTAGATGTTGTGTCTGAGGTGGTGTTGTTTGAAGTAGTGTTTCAGATGTCTTGCTATAAAGTGTACTTGCGTTCACACACACACATACATGCTTCCACTCAACTTTCTCATTCATACTCCGGTGGCCACCGTTTCATTCTCTCCTTACACATGCATTCTTAAACCCTTTATTGTGTTTGACACATGGAGTTTTGGCTCCGTATTGGTTACTGTTTATATGTTTCTTTTGGTTCTGTTGTATCATTTATTGCTTCTTTGTGATTATCCCTGTTTTAAATAAATGTTAATGTAGATTTACACACATAGGACCCATATCTCTTTCCCCCCCCCTTTTTTTTTTTTTTCACTTTGTGGTGTATTTACTATTGTTGGTCATGTTTCTTCTAATCCAAATCCTTCACTTATTTCTTCTGGTGGTTGTTCCTGTTGTGGTGGAGGGCTAATATAAGACCTGACACATCTAGAAGGGACCCATTGCAATTTGGTACCCTTGGATACACAGGTATATCCCCTTCCCCATGTTACGAGATCTACTGGTCCTGACCATTGCCCAGATATTAGATCTTTGATCATAACTGGTGGTTTGGAAGATGAAAGTATTTGAGTTTTATGTTGGCGTTCATACCTGCTATGGTCTGTATCATCACAGTTTAAGAAATTTAGAACATATGACGCTTTCCATAAGCGTTCCTGGGGGCTATATACCGACTCCCCTCTTTTTTGTCTTTGAAGCATTTCTTTTAGTGTACAGTGAGCTCTTTCTACAATCGTTTGTCCTGTGGGTGAATGCGGTATTCCTATGGAATGGAGTACCCCCCAGTCTGTGAGAAATGTTTTGATTTTTTCAGAACAATAAGCAGGGCCATTGTCGGTTTTTATGGTTTTTGGAATTCCTAGGATTGCAAAACAACTGAGCCAGTGTCTGATAATGTCTTTGGCTTTTTCTCCCGTGTGTGCTGTTGCATTAATGTATCTGGAATGCGTGTCTACTGTAACATGGACGTATTTTAGTTTACCGAATTCAGCTATATGTGTAACGTCTGTCTGCCAGATTTCATTGGCTGTTATGCTCCTGGGATTAGCCTCTTCCTTAGCTGGCATTGGGGTAATTGGCTGGCAGTCAGAGCATGACATAATTATGTCTCTGGCCTGGTTTATTGTAATTTGGAATTGTCTCTTTAATGAACGTGCATTTTGGTGGAAGAACTGGTGTGAGAGTTTAGCCTGTTCCAGAATTTTGGGAACTGTAGTTACCATAGCAGTTGCATCAGCTTTTTGATTGCCCTCTGCTATGGGTCCTGGAAGTTCTGTGTGTGACTGAGTATGCATTATGTAAAAATCAAATTTTCTGTGGTTGATAAGAAACCATATGGTACGAATTTCTGTGAATAAGTGAGGATTAGTGACATCTCGAAGGAAGGAGCTTCGAGACATGAGACCAACCCTGCTGCATAGTGAGAATCTGTGACGACATTCATAGGTTGATCATGGAACAATTCAAATGCCATGCGGATAGCTGCTAGTTCTAAAACCTGTACAGAACCTTGGTCCAAGGTTTGTACCTTATTGTCCCATTGTCCTGTGGCAGGGTTCTTCCATGTCACGGCGGCTTTTTTGGATTGTCCAGACGCATCAGTGAAGACTGTGATTCCATTTACTGGTCGTAGTTTGCAGCGATGCGTGGCCATCAGGGGTAGATTTCCTATTTCCGCCCAGAGTTTATGTTTCGGGAAGTGAATGGAAATATTACCGTGGAAGTCCGCTAATGTAGTCTGAAACCCAGCGTCCTCTGCAAGAAGCCAGTCTAAGTTGTCTTTTGTGGCTGGAATGTAGATCGTCTCAGGATCCCTTCCATCCATCTCCTGCAGACGTCCCCTACCTTTCATGACGAGCTTAGCAAGCATGTCATTAATGGTCCAAACAGTCTTAGGTGGAGAGTGGGGAAGAAATAACCATTCTAGAATTCTCAAAGGGTCGGATTCTGCCTGATCCCATTGGAAAAGGACAGCAAAAGTTGGAACTTGCTGGATATGATGGTGAGGCGAATGTGCAGGTCAGGGTGTCGTCGTCTGCTTTGCCTGTTTTTGACGGCTTGGGAGCATACTTCCAGAGCTTGTTTTGCTTCTGGGGTTAGGGATCGAATGGATGTGAGAGTTGGGTCACCTTTAAGTAGCTCGAAGAGGGGGTGCAATTCCTCTGTTGTGATCCCCAAGACAGGCCTCAGCCAGTTAATGGCTCCTAAAAGCTGTTGCAAATCATTCAGGGTCATAGTGTCCGTTACTTTGAAAGTCAGTGGTTGTGGCATGATTTCCTGTTGAGTGATCCTCCGTCCGAGGTAGGTCCAAGGTTGGGTGCGTTGAATTTTTTCTGGGGCAAGCTGCAGACCTGCTTTTTGGATGGCGTCAGTTAAGGCAGTCAAGGTGGATTGTAGTTCGGTCCCGTGTTTTGCTGCTATCAGGATGTCATCTATATAATGACAGATGATGGCTGAAGGGTGGAGTTTTTGAACAGGATGTATGATGTTGGCTACCACTGTTTGAAAAATCATCGGGCTGTTTTTCATGCCCTGAGGCAGTACTGTCCAGTGGTATCTTTGCATGTTTGTGTTTTGAGTGGATTTAGAGGTATTGTTGTATTGTTGTATGTTGCAACTTTGTGGAGCATCTTTGGGCTTCTATTGTATGAGGGTTTTGTTTGTTTTGCTTTCTCAAGGCTCTTGCAGTGACTGTGTATAAAGAGTTATGTGTTTCTGCAGTAGAAATTGTAACTGGTTGTTTGTTTGCTACTTGTTTAAGTTTGGCTTTCCATGTTGTGTATGGCATATTGTCTAACAGCATTTTAAAATAGTGAGAAGTAAATACTTGATTTGGGGCCCCTCTTATTATTATTCTTACCCCCTGTAACACAAAAGAACTTTTTATAATAGCAGATAATCTGTCAATTAGTAAAGTTGTCCTTTTGTGACTTAGAAAATTAAACATGGTAGTTGATAGCTGTATGTCTGCTGTGTTTTGCAATGCTACCTCTAGGTTGTTGGTTCTGTCAGGAGGTGGATGGTGTTGTCCCAGCTGAAATTCTCGCAGTACAAAACCAACAGCTGTCATCGCCAGCAACGCAGTCAGTACACATGCTGTCCACTTCAACGTCGGTAGTTTTGACTTTGCTGATGGTTTGGGCTTGGGTAGGCAGATGTTCTGTGTGCTTTCCCAGTCTGCATCTTCTTCCTCGAGCTGAAGTACTAGCTGTAACCATGTTTGCTGTTCTTCTTCTTTTACAGGATTCAAAACTGCTTGTCTTCTTTCTGGTTCTCTTGTCTCGCTAAGTTCAGTTTGCCATAGCTCAGCTAAGCTTTCTAGGGAGTAAATATCTCTTCTTCCTCCTCTATCAGGCCATCTTTGGCATAGAAGCTGTTCTGAGGCTGGTGAGGGCTGTGGGTTGGTTTCTTGGTAGGAGAGCCACAGTGATGTTTCAACTGTTGTGCATTTGTTGTGAGTTGGTTGAACTGGTGGTGACAGAAGAGGTGCTTTCACTTCCACCTCATGGCCGGAGTAAGCTTGCTGTGTCCATGTTGCTGCATGGTTGTTCTGCAGCGGTCTCATGGCTGCTGGGCAGCCAAAGGGTGTTAGTGGACCGCCCTGGCTAAAGGGAGCTAGCAGATTCTCTTCTGTGTCCTCTATAGACTCCTCATCTATTTGTCCGTCACAGTCATCCTCCCCCCTTCCCGGCGAAATGCCTGAACCTGGGGGTGGCGGCTTCACTTCCGGCGCACGGCAGGGGCAACATGGCGGTGCCTCCGGTGCCACTCTCCTTCTGCACGTTGACTGTGCAACTGCTGTGTAACGGTCACCCCGTAACAGTCTAGGGGTAGGCGCTGCTCTGTAACGGTCCTCGGCTCCAGCAGCACTGCTTGCTGCTCTGTATGGCATGGTGTCAACTGCAGCCATGGGCGCTGG